GGTCAACTCATAACCACTACGCCCACCGCCAGGGCTCCCAGGGACCAAGGAGCTCCCAAAAGCCTGAGGGGAAAAGGAAGGCTAGCTCAGGTGTTAGGGTGGGGACGGCTCCTGCCCCAGCCTCTCCAGCGGGCTTACTGATCTCTGCAGGAGGGGAGGGTCAAGGTCCAGGCTGCAAAGCGAATCCACAAGGCCCTGCAGCCACCGTCCTGGAAAACTGCAGCGTCCACGCTTCCCAGAGCACCCCACCCCGCCCCGCCCCCATCACTCCTTCCAACATCCTTGTCCCAAAGCTTAGTTTTCACCTTCAGAAGGTGGGTGGCAGGGACAACCTTTGATTCCCAGCACACAATGATTAACAGCACCGGCAGCCATTAACCTCTGGGCAGCCCTGGGGCCCACCACTCGAATTTGAAGCATCTCCTCCCTGAAGCTGACCCTGTCCAGGACTGTTCCTAAGGGCAGCTTCCCCTGTCCTGCCCCTGCCCCTGCCCCTGGGCTTCCTCAGGTGGGATCTGAGGGTCACCCCCTTCGTAAGCCCTGGGTGAGACCCTTCTTGGTATACCTCTCTCAGCCCTCCAAGGCTTGGGACCACACCTTCCTCCACTCTGGGAATTCCCAGCCCCCCCTAACCATGTCTCCCAGTGTCCCACGGCCACTGGTGAGACTTCTTTTCCGGCAGTGAGACTCTCAGGAGCTAGGTCCCAGCCCCAGGTGCCCAGTCGGAGACCAGCAGGAACTGGACAGTTAGTGGGGACTGCATCACATATGTGGGATGGAAGAGGGGTAAAGGGTGAATAAACCTGGGGGCGGGGTGGGTGGGGGCGAGTCATCCAGCCAGCTGCAGAGGAACCAGCTCCACCCAGCCAGGCCGCCAAGGGTTTTTCATCTGGGGGACAGGCCCCTCGCTCCTGTCCGTCGCTCCCACCCTCCTTAAGGCAGGGGCCTGGACACAGCCTGCAGGCTCAGCAGGGACCCCGAGATACACAGCCGTGAGGGCTTCCTCCTGACGGGCAAGAGGGTCCGCTTCAGACTCTTTGTGGGAAGTCGGCAAGCAACCAAGTGCAGCGTGGGACAGCGGGACAGGGGCCCTTGCAGGCATCCCCCAGCCACCACTGCGACAGCATGCCGAGCTAGCCGCCCCCTCCCCCCTGCGATATGTTGCCGGGCCAACAAGCATTGGGAGTCACCCAAGCACACGTAATGTGTGTGCCACAATGGCTTTGCGACGGCCCCTGCCTCTGGGCCCTGCCCCCACCAGCCCGACACCCCCAGGAAAGGGCTTAATCCGTTTCGTTCCGGAAATAGCAGTGGAAACGTTGCTCTTGGGTCCCTCCGGAGCGTGAGGTAGGACAAACGGGCGTGCTGCCGGGAATCCTGGGACATGGCTGCCACTCTGTGCCCACACTGAGAGATCTGCGGGCATAAGCATATGAAAAGGCCGTTTAAAACAAAAAACCCCGAAGCTTCCTGAAAGCTCCAGAACACCCATCATGCTCTCGTCCTAGACAGACAGGCAGACAGGCGGGTGCATGAAAGGTCCCCAGGGGCCAGTTAATCTCTGTCCCTGAAGTGTGATGGGCCCAGTGTCATGCACTGGGGCTCACAGGGACCCCGCAGGGCTCAGCTGGGATTGTGCCCACTTCTGATTCATGGGGACCGTTTGGGGGAAACAAAGCTATGATGGGGTGCAGCACTGTTTGCCTCTGTGGTGTGTCGGGCTTCCAGGAGCTAGCCTTTGAGAGTCCAAAGCCAGCCCTTTCCTCCTAGTCTCTTGGTCTGGCCGCTAGACTAAACCTAGACCGCATCAGAGGAGCACGCTGCCCCCGGGACAGATGGGTGGTGACTGCACGTGAGACACACCGGCCAGGCATTGAGCCGGATGCCCAGCATGGAAGCCAGGGATTCTGCTACCAAGACCCCACTGGCCCCTGGGGACCTCAGCCCTGTCCTATGTTCCACTCCTTCTGCTCCTTGGATCCACAATCAATGCTCACGGAAGCAGCAGTCAGGAGATCAAATGACGTGTTGCCTTGGGTCCGTCTGCTGCGCAAGACCTCCTCGGAGTGCAGAAAAGCAAGGATGTGACTTTGAGGGCGAAGGCTCACCTGACCCAAGCCACGGCACTTGCAATCACCTCCTGTGCACGTGGAAGCTGGACACTGAATACGGGAGACCGAAGAAGAATCGGTGTGTTTGAACTATGATGCTGGAGAAGAATATTGGAAAGGTACAATGGACTTCCAGGAGAACACACAGATGACCGAGGGGGCAGCCAGCATCCAAGCGCCAGCTGCCCCTGCTCTAGAGTGATATGCAATTCCAAGGTAAATGGTTTGGGGGGTCTCTGAATGAAACAAGAGGGGGCATTAAAGAAAAACACAAGCTGAAGGATTGTGCAGTGACGGGTACTGCACAGCTGAGCTGGCCACGGGAAAATACACACGGTTCCTACCAACTCAGCACTCAGAGGCTGATTGGGCCCCTGAGAAAGCTCAGGAGGAAGCGCCCACATGTGGGCAGTCCGTTCCCCTAGTCAGGCCAAAGTCTGGTCTCCTCTGACCTTCATCTTGATAAGTCTTTGCCTCCTGCTTGAACATCGCTGTTGGGTTTGTGTCCCTAAGATTGCGTGTGGTCATTCTACCCAGAGCCAGGCAAGGACAGGCAGCGAGCAGACGCTATTTCAAAGATGTCATGAAAGGAGTCCTGGTGGTGCAGTGGGTTACACTGCTGGGCTACTAACAGCGAGGTCAGCAGTTCGAAACCACCAGGCGCTCCTCAAGAGAAAAATGAGGCTCTCTACTTCCGTGCAGTCACCGGCTCTAGCCCGTCTTACAGGGTAAATGAAGTCAAAGCCTCGGGGCTCAGGGGCTGACCTTAAAGGGGGCATGTCTGAATTCACACAAAGGTCCCTTGCAAGAAAGGCCTGGTGATCTGTTTCGGGGGGTGGGGGCCGGGGGTGTAAGTTTTAAAATCAGTCACTGGAAGCCCTCAAAGCGTGGTTTTGCCCTGTGCCGGGCTGGTCACCGGCAGTCACGGCGAAGCCACAATAGCTGAGTTGTTTGCTTGTGTCCCTGATGTTGGCCGAGGCACCCCAGGCCAAAGGAGAAGCCCTGAGCTTCCAGGAAGTCAGGCCCTGGGCTTTGTGGGTGACCCAGCCCCGCAGTCAGGGTGTTTCTCTCTACGGTCTCCCACTCTAAACTCCACACCCAACCCCTGCCTTGGAATCAATACTGACTCCTACCAAACACTGCTCCTGGCCATCGAGCCGATGCTGACTCATACAGACCCTGTAGGACAGAGTAGCACTGCAGACAGCCTTGCCTTCTTCCCGAGGTGCACCGACCTTGAGGTGTGTGACCTTGAGGTGTGCGACCCAAAGCCTAACCCACAGCCCCACCAGACAGCATCCCCCCCAGTCTCCTCCTACTTCCCACCCAATTAGCCCCAACTCAAGGCAACCTGATGGGTGTCCGAGCACAACTGTTGGCCATGGCTGATTTTTCACAAGTCAATCACCAGGCCTTTCTTCTGAGGCACCGGGGGTGGACTCCAGCCCCCAGCCTGTCCCCGGGTGAGACCAGGGTGTCTGGTAAGCGTGTGCCTTCCTGTTGACCATCAGCCCTCTGTGCCAGCGCCCCTGCTGGTGAAAGTTCCCCTGTCACAGTTGAGGCCCCTGGGACCTGCTGTGACTGAGCAGCATGATGGAGAAGCTGCCAGACAGGTGGCAGGGGAGAGGCCAGGTGATAGAGGTGGTCCAGGTGAGGGGCACCAAGGGGAGAGAGTCTCTCACTGACCTCCTGCCCAAATGTGCCAGCCTGTCCCACTCTCTGGCTGCCCTCGGCAAACTTGTGGGGGCTCAGCAGGAACAGGCAGCTCTGCTAGTGTTCTCGGCTCTGGGTGAAGCGGCAGGTGCTACGGGAACCTCACAGCTGGAGGCCTGCTGCATGTGTGGCCTCCAGAAGCGGCCACAGGTGTCAACTGGCTTAATGAGGAGCTGTCCCAGAGGTGGCTCAGTGATGATCTGAAAGGATGGTGATTGGACTATACCCAGGGCAGTGCAGGGTAAAGACCTGGCACACCATTCTAGCCAAGGGGATGTTTGGGGTGGTCCTGCGCTGTCCCGTGGGGTCTCCGTGAGTCAGAATTGTCTGCATGACTCGGGATTAATCTAACAACAGCCATCGAGGAGTCTTAGAAAGAAAGGAAATGCAAGGCGTACACGCAGAACCACAAAGAAGGCAAGCTGTCGGAGCTGAGCCTGAGCAGGGGGCAGGGGCAGCAGTGGGGGCCTCTCCTGGGTCCTCTCTCCCCACTGCCTGCAGGTAGCACCCTGCCCACCACCTCCCCACCCACTGCCTGCAAGATACTTTGAAAGATCACTCCCTGCATCCAAATACTCCCCCTGCAACCTCATTTTATCCAAGGCACGCCCTAGGAGTTTGCCTTAACAGAGTGGTACTCCTTTGACTTGAAGCATGTTTATCAGGCTGGCCCGTAGAGGCCACGGCGTTTCCGGGGAGTCCAGAAAGGTTGACGGTCCAAGTGTACCCTGCCTGTGACAAAAGACCCGGCAACCAACTTCCAAAGTCACAAGAGCACAGGCACCACTCAGAACTGAGGTGCCCGTGAGTCAGAATCGACTGGAGCCGCTCCCCTTGTCACTGCACAGAGACAGAGGGGCACCGACAGCCTCCACCCTCCTGGTGCAGCAGCCGTCCAAAAGTGAGACTCGGCAGCCTTTTGTAGGAAAAAAAACCAACTTTATTAAAAGAAATCATAATAACTTACAAATGGAGGGACCTCTCAGCGACATGACTGCTGGTTTCATGTACAACCTGGGGCGATGTTTGGCGTTTGGCATTTTTATATATATATGTGTGTATATATATATATATTTCCCTTGCTTTTTAATGTAACGTGATGATACTATCAATGTCACAAATTGCAGTAGGGAGCAGTGTCCATTCCATACCCCCACTTCCACCCCCCCCTTAGTACAAAGCCCCACGCAGATATAAAACTTTCGTAAATAAAAGATCTCTCACCCAAGCCTGGCATAGCATTTATATAGATCCATAGACATATTTATATGATTTCAAAAACAGCTAACTTCCACACCCCCCTCAGTCAGTCAGGACTGAAGCCTAACTAACCCTTATGGCTACGGCAAGCCAAACCCACGTTGCGCTCTCACTCCCGAACAGTATTTAAAATATACTTCCATTTCAGAGGCATTATAAGATACATCAAGAGTGAGAAAATAAAGTCTGAGCATATAAATACAAATCACCATAGAAAAAATACACACACACACACACACACACACACACACACAGATGCAGGGGGCTCTGAAAGTCCTATTGTACAGAAGCTGGGGCAAGCTCTTCCTGAAGCAGGCTTGACGCCTTGTCCAGGCCACCCGGCCCAGCGCTGCAGGATGGGAAGCTGCCCAAACACAGGTCCTCTCTCACGTGGGACAGGTAGGCCCAAGGACACAGGTTCCTCTTTTCAAATGCTCCCGCACGGAGACCCTGGGGAAGCCCCTCTGCTTGACTTCTTGGAGGCGAGGCAGCCCAGTGCCCTCTGAAGTTCACGCCCGGACCGAGGTCCCGGAGCTCCGGACGCTCGCCCGCTCTCCTCATTTGGTGCTTTGCTCTAAGGCCGAGTACTCCGTCTCCGACACCCTGGAGGCGTCGATGAGCTTGGCCAGGCCGGTCTTGGCCGAGTACTTGAAGATGAAGGCCTTCATGAGCTCGTACCTGTAGTTGCGGTTGATGAAGCTGTAGAGCACGGGGTTGGCGCAGCAGTGCGCCAGCGACAGGCACTGCGTGACGTGCAGGGCGGTGAAGAGGAAGCTCTCTAGCTGGCAGGTGAAGGGGATGTAGTGGAGGACGGAGAAGATGTCCAGCAGCACCACAGCGTGGTAGGGGAGCCAGCAGACCAGGAAGACCACCACATAGGAAAAGATGATCTTCCTGCTGCTGTGCTTCTCTGGGTCGGCCGAGGCCGCGATGGCCCTGGCGAGGAGGAAGTAGAAGAGGGCGATGATGCAGAAAGGGATGATGAAGCCCAGGACCACAGACACCAGCTCCATGCCGATCAGCCACTCCTTGACGCTGTGCTCCGGGTAGAAGGAGCGGCAGTAGGTCTCATTGTTGGCGGCCGAGGTGATGGTCTTCAGGTAGTAGGTGTCGGGCATTGACACGCAGAAGGCCAGCAGCCAGACCAGGATGCACACGACCCGACGGACCGTCTTCTTGCGGCCGCTGGCCGTGCCGGAGAAGTAGGTGACAGAGAGGTAGCGGTCCACGCTCATGCAGGCGAGGAAGAAGATGCTGCCAAACAGGTTGATGGAGAAGATGAGGTGCGTGACCTTGCAGGTGAGCTCGCCCATGGGCCACTGGTTGTGCTGCACCAGGCTGACCACCCACACGGGGATGGTGAGGACCACGCACAGGTCGGCGATGGCCAGGTTCAGGAGGTAGCAGTGCGTGTCGTAGCCCGTGGTCTTGGCCTGGATGTTGACCCAGACCACCACGGAGTTGGCGACCATGCCCACGACGAAGATGAAGACGTAGATGAAGGAGAGCGTGTAGAGCAGCGTGCTCTTGTTGGGCATGTTGGGACACAGCACTGTGTCCACGCTGATGCAGTCGCTGCTGTTACAGGGCCAGCTGATGTCCGAGAAGTTGCCCTGCTCCGGGTAGTCGAAGATGTGCGCCTCCATGGCTTCCAGATGGCGGGCAATCGGATGACCTGCAGGGTGGAAAAGAGAGAGTCATTGGAGAGAGCATTACCCACAACTGCTGTTGCCGTGTCCCCGCATCCCCCCAACATGTGCACAGCCCTGTCTGTGCAGGGAGCTCCCAGGGAGAGCCGGCAAGCACCCTCGGCTGCTCCCTGAAAGGCTGGGGGTTTGAGCCTCCCCAGAGGAGCCTCGGAGGAAAGGCCTGGCCATCCGCTGAATGCTGAGAATGAAGCAGAGCCACAGCCGGCGAGGGAGGGGGTTGTTTGTTTGCCGCTGCTTTCTGAGACTTGGGGTGGCTGAGGACCCACCACCGGGTGCTGGGGGAGCTGGCCCACGGGTACGTATGCACTGCTGGACTGCCCCTATCCCCACCCCTCTGGAGGCAGATGTGACATCCCACAGAAGCAGGGCCAGATGTATATGAGGACTTGCAGCTGGCCTGCCCTCAACCTGCAGGCTCTGGGCTCGCCATTGTCATTCTCCACATGGGGTGCCCAGCCCACTGCCCCAGCCATGGCCCAAAGGGCTTTTTCAATTGCTGCTGGTGCCTCCAGCTATCACCACGGGGAGTGTTTGGGTAGCCCTTTGACCCCACCCAGCCAATCACAGAGGAATGGGCTGGCAATCTGCTTCCCTGAAAGCCCTGCTGGCATCCAATCACATGCTGATTCATGGTCCTGCAGGTCCCTCCATGGGCAGCCCAGAGCAGTGGAGGTCCAGGGCTGCCATCCGGAGCTGCTGCGGCCTCAGCTCAAGGGGCACTGTGGAGGGCCTCCCACCCCCACCCCTAAGCACAAGGAGGTGCCCACCCTGCTTTTCCTCCCAGCTGAGAACAGTCTTGCCTCCAGTGAGAACAGTGGCCAGCAGGAGGACAGTGGCCAGCGGGCCTGGGCATGGGCAGGCACAGAGGGTCTGGGTGTGAATTCAAGCTCTGGATGCCTGGTGTTCAACCTCAGGCAATTTTAGTCCCTGACCCAGTGGCATCTTCTCCCTGGCACAGACCACCTACCTCAGGGACTCCCTTGAAGGCTTCGGCCAACAGTGACCCCCGCTACAGACCTCTCAAGGATACCCGGTCAAGGGCCCGGCTGCCAACTGAAAGGTCAGTGATTTGAGCTGAGGCTGTCTGCTCCTGTAAAGTCTGACAGCCTCCACCACCCTTGGGCAGTGCTCCCTGTCCAGTAGGGTCACTGTGAGTCCAAATGAACCTGACGGCAGTGGAATAGATTTGGGGGGGCCTTTGAGAACGGGGGAACCAACGCCAATCAGTGGCACCCCAGGTCCAAGCCAGGGTGGGCTGAGGACTGAAGAGTCTGCTGACCCAGGAGTCCCCAAGGTCTCTGTCTTGCTGCAGTGACCCCATGCAGCCGGCACAATGTTCACCAGTCCAGTGGGGGGGCTACTGGAAAGGTGAAAGCCCATAGGGCCAGGTCTTCTCTGGCCCACAGGATGGCCCCTGGGTCAATTTGACTCACTCACGGGTACCATGTTTGGATGTCATGGCCGCCCGAAGGCATGCTGGTGGTACGGCAGTTAAGCGCTCACTTGCTGAGTGCAGGCCCACAGTTCAAAGCCACCAGCTGCCCCCCAGGAGAACAGTGAGGCGGTCTGCTTGCATGAAGCCCCACAATGGGACAACTCTACTCTGGTCCCTAAGGTCCCTGTGAGGCAGTGAGAGGTAGAGAGGGCCTCGCCAGAGCTGGCAGACACTCCTCCAAGGAGCCCCCTCCCCTCACTGCCCCCCCTCTCTGGGGTAGGAGAAGACTGGCTGCAGGCAGGGTGGGTGTCTTCAGCCAGACCACAGTGTCCCCCTGGGTAAAGCGCTTTCCAAAAACAAAGTCGTGGCCTGCACTACAGGCACTCCGACTCCTACCATCCCGTGTGCGTTCCTACAAGGTGACAATCCCCAAGCCGCTGGCTGCCAACTGGCCGCTCGCCCCTCCCCCCACCCCACTCTGTCCCCCCGGTCCTGAGCAGGCTGAGCAGCTGAACCGGCCGCCCAGTTCTCACCGGTGACCCATGTTCCCTCTCCGCCAAGTGCAGGGCGCTGGGTCTCTAAAGCTTTGCTACTGTGTCTTCATGAGACCCAGCAGACAGTAGTGCGTGGCAGGCGGCCACAGCTGGGCAGAAGAGGGGCAGCCAAGAGAAGGCCGGCTCCTGGCACGGCCAGCGGAGCCCGCAGGATGGACATCAGTCCTGAGCTGGGAGGACAGAGGGCCGAGCTGTCCCCTGACCCCAAGGAGCATCCTGGGAGATGTCTTTCCCTTGGCTGGCTCACCAGGCAGGTGCAGGGAGCTGCCAGGAGCCCGTGGGAAAATGGAATGAAAAGATTAAAAAAAAAAAAAAAGGCTTTTCCCACCTGTTTTTTGAAGCCCCCTGGCACATCCTCGGGGGTCTCTAGGCGGTGTCAAGAATGGTGAGTTAGAGCATGGCTGCTAATGGGAAGGCTGGGGGTTCGAGTCCACCCCCAAAGGAACCTCGGAAGAAAGGTCTGGCAACCTATTTCTGGAAAAGAGCACCTGTGGAAACCATGTGGAGGCAATGTGACAGGAGCTGGTGTGGCTTGGGTCCTCCAGAGACACCCACATTCCTCAGACTCAGGCTCACGGGCAATCTCTCCTTCCCGCTCTCGGGCTTCCCCCAGCCCCCTGGGTTCTCAGAGACCCTGACAGTGACGGGGACAGGCGTCCAGGGCCATCCACGCTGTGTCTCTCTGCCCCTGCCCACTGTGAGGGCCTTGGAGCCAAGGGTGTCGTGATTCAAGAGACAGGCTGCTGCCACCCCAGCAGTGAGACTGCTCCAGCAGCAGACAGGGGACAGTCAGGGACCCGAGGGGCTCACAGGGAGAAGGCAGAAGCTGGGGTCTCCTTCCTTCCTGAAGGGTCAACGTCTGCTGGCCCTGCTGCTCAATAGACAATCATTTATCACCGATGCTCAGTGGTTCAAAACCACCAGCTGCTCCTCAGAAGAAAGACGAGGCTTTCTACTCCTGTAAAGGGTTCCTGTGTCTGAAACCCACATGGCATTTCTACCCTGCCCTGTAAGGTCGCTGTCAGTGGGCATCGACTCAAGGGCAGTGAGTTTGGGGTGGCACCATGGTTAAGAGGGTGCCCCACTGTTAAGGGCGTGAGGACATGCTGAAGACAGAGACAGCAAATGCTCCCTGACAGGACACTGCATGCGCCACCTGTGACGTTACATCATTTCATGTCAACTTCAAAAATAGGTCTAGGCGTGGACTCTAGCCTGTCCATCAGGTCACAGCCTGATGATGGACATCAAGAACTATGCAAGGCATAACAAAAATTGTAACCAGCCCCAACCGAGGGCAGACGGACCCACAAAGCAGTAAAGCTCACCCATGTTCCTTTCTGGGGCAGGGTCCCAGACCCACACATCCATGTGCGTACAGCATGTGCAAACACAGACGGGGCTGTGTCACCATAGCCGCACATAGCCCTGCCCCGAGCTGTCTGCCTGACGCACGGCGTTCATAGAGGCGGGTGATCGTCTCTCTTAGCAGTTCTATCACATATACTCAGGACACACCATCGTGGAGGGAAGCCCCCCGCCCCCCAGGACTGGGGGCCATTCATTGTGTTGTTCCCCAAAGGCACTGCCAACTACGTTTCACCACCACCCCCTTTCCCCCACGCTCATGTTGCTTCATCCCATGGGATCCCTTCTGCAGAGATAGATCTCTTTCCACGGGGACCTGGGCAAAGGTCAGAACAGGAAGTCCGTGGTGGACAGGAAGGGAGTTTTCCACCATGAGAGGAAGTGAAGGCTCCTCCAGCGGGGACGGAGCAGCCCTCCCCAGGCCCGGCCCGGGCTGGGCTATCTACTGGCACCTCTTGGTCAGGCAGAGAGGACTTTCCTGGGAGAGTCCCTCTCCCTCCTCAAGTTCCTTGTCCATCAACCAGGTTTCCTTGACGACTGCTGAGCTGTGGCTGGCGAGAGCCCGGAGACATTGAGCTGTCTCCACAAAGCCCTCCTCCTGAATTAGAACCTCCAGTCCCCACGGGGCGGGGTTTGGCCTGCAGTGCACACACGCCCAAAGGGCCACGTGTCTCGGGCTGCTCATCTAAACTGCCCGCAACGTGTTTGTAGTTTCCTATCACGTAGTAGGAAGACCCTTCCCACTAATCCTCCCTGCCCTGCCCCTCCCAAGTAATCCACCCTTTCCGTTCTGTGCACCCCACCCAGCCCCCTATGCCCTGTGTTACTCATGGGACACACCCACCGCAGGAGTCCCCGGGTGGCACGGTGGGTTAAGCGCCTGACTACTAGCCAATAGGTCAGCAGTTCAGACCCACCCAGATGTGCTTCCCAGGACAGGCCACACACACACACACACACACACACACACACACACACCCCTGGCTGGAGTTGGAATGGGCTGGCTAAGAACCAGCCAGGGACGGTAACAAGGGCCACAGCCAGCAATGGCCCGGGACAAAACAGGTGCCAGGAAGGGTTCCCAAAGCCTGTACCCAGCTGAGATAGTCCCTCACCCAGATGAGATAAAGTCTCTCACCCAGCTGGAATCATCTCTCACTACCCTGGAGTCGGTGCTGACTCACACCGGCCCCTGTGGGTTTCTGAGATTGTCCCTCTTGAGGGGAGTAGAAAGCTCTTCTTTCTCCCTTGGAGAGGCTGGTGGTTGAACTGCTGACCTTGAGGCTAGCAGCCCAATGCATCACCACTATGCCACCAGGACTCTCTGTATAGGAGGGAGGAACGACTTAAGAACTACAGTGAGTCGGAATGGACTCGCTGGTGGTGGGTTTGAATTTTTTGGAAATCAAGGCCGGAGATACCCAGGGCTCAGAGTCATCAGCAGGAGCTCCATGTGTGTGTGTGTGTGTGTGTGTGTGTGTGTGTGTGTGTGTGTGAGAGAGAGAGAGAGAGTTCCCACCTCCTCCACCAGGATCTCACTGCCACGGTGTCAGTTCTGACCCACAGTGACCCTCCAGGACAGGGTAGAACGGCCCCTGTGGCTCTCTGACACTGGCCCTGTTTGTGGCAGCAGAAAGCCCCCTCTCCCTCAGAGCAGCTGGTGGTCTCCAATTGCCCACCTTGAGGTGAGCAGCCTAACAAGTCACCACTCTGTCCCCAGAGCTCCCCCTCTTTGGGATGCCCTGGGTTCATGGGTGCCATTTAGATAACGGAGGGTCTGCTGGACCACAGAATCCTGCAGCGACCGCCCAGTTTCCGTCTTGAGGCGCTGCTGTGTTTGGGGGGCCTGCGTTCACATCCATGGGAAAATCAACCCAAGAAACAACCTGCCGACCTTGGGGCTCAGCCAAGGCCTCTGTCCAGCGCTGATAGCAGCTGGGGCCAAGCACACAGAACACAATGTAGTCCCAGGTGGCGCTGCAGGGAGCCTAACTTATGCAAATAGGGTTGCCCCAAACCTCTGGGGAGGCAACTAATCAATCCACAGGAGAACCACAGAATGAGCAAGGGATTGGACCCAGGGCGCCTCCTCCCAGGTCCTCAGACCTCCCAGTAACCCAGGGACGATCCTCAGGGCGGGCTGGAGGGGGGGGGGTGGTGTAAAATGAAATCCACATCCAGAAACCGGATCCTCCTATCGTCCCCAGCTGCCCAGACAGCGAGGAGGGCAGAATGGTGAGAGAAGGCCTGGCTGACACCCCTGCATCACAAAGGCCACTGTCTGGCCTTGGCCAGTGTAACCAGAGCTCAAATTCCCAGCCGGCTTAGGGCCAGGACCAGGGCAGCCGGACTGCAGGGCGGGCAAGGCTGGGGATGGACCCTCAGCCAGACACAATGAAGCTGGGGGGGGGGGCGGGGACGGACACGTCGTCCGGCCAGCCATCGGGGTTTCTTGCAGAGTAAACTCCACTCTCTGCTGAAAAAACATGCCAGGGTAGCTACCATGAGGCAGCCCTTACAAGAAGAACGCGTGAAGTGGCAGCAAGCTGCCTGTGTGTCAGGGGGCACTCAGGGTGACAGCCCCTTGGTCTGTCCCCTCACCCCGCAATTCCACCTGGCCCTGTCCTGTCTGCTTTGTAGGAGATCAGTGTGCTAGGCTACCCCTTCTGGAGGGAAGGGGGGTTGGTTAAAAGCAATGGACAGATGGACAGAGCCCTTGTTATTTTGCTGGTGCCGCCCCACCACACACACACACCTTCTAGCTTGGAGCCCCGGTGGCACAGTTGTTACACACGGGGCTGCTAACGGCAAGGTCAGCAGTTTGAAACCACCAGCCACTCCTCTGACAAAAGATGAGGTGCAGTGGTTCTGTGTTGGGCTGTGATCCTCGGTGGTCGGCAGTTTGAAACCCCCTGTAGCTCTGAGGGAAAGACTGGGCTTTCTACTCCCTTAAACAGCTACAGTCTCCGAAAACCCACAGAAGGTCTCTATGCGTCAGCGTTGACTCGATGCCAGTCAGTGGGAGGTGGGGGCAGTGAATGAATGAATGAGTGACTCCCTGTAAGGAGTTACAGTCTCAGAGGCAGTTCTATCCTGTCCTACAGGGTCACCCTGAGTCGTTATCGGCTCAATAGACCTACTTACACTGGACAGCACTGTAATACTGTCCCTGTACCTGTAAGATCCAAAGTAGGCTGTTTGGTGACCTGCTGGCAAGCGCTGAATACCTTCTAGCTTCCACCCACCCCCAACCCCCAGTCCAGTGCTAGGACACAGAATTCTTGAGGACCATCCAAGGCCCCTCAGAGCTGTGAGGTCTAGCCCCTATCCCAGGGCACCCTTGGAATTTACAAGGTGGCTGCCCTGCAGTCCTTCAGGTTCGGGTTGGAGAAAATGCCACACTTCCCTTGTCCCTACTTGCAAACAGGGGCCTCTAAGCCCAGAATTATCACACAAAAAGCCACTGTTCCCGATTAAGTACCCCCTCCCTTCCAGAAAGCCTATACTTGGCCAGCTCAGGGCCTGATTAGAAACCTTAATGCCAGCACCATTGTCCCAGGGCACCCTGTACTCAATGCGGGATAAACTCACCTCCAGGCTCCTAGCCCAGAATCTCCCCAGCAAGCCCTAGAGCCCTGGACTCTGCTCTCAGAAGCCACTGGCAAGCCAGGACCCTAATGCCTGTCCCCCTGAAAAGCCCAGATGACCAGCAAAACAGCCATTGCTCAATGCAGGGAGGCTTTGGACTGGGGGACACTCCCTCTCTTCCCCTTCCCTTGTGCCCCGCCCCTTGGTACCCAGCCCCCTCCCAGGCTGGGGCATCCTGTATCGCTCTTGCCTGCACATTCAAGTGTTTATAGCCCAGCCCTGGAGAAAGGGCAAATTGTTTCCAAGCTGGCCTCCCCTGTGCAGCCTCGCTGGGAGAGGGCTCAGCAGCTGGGGGAAGCTGAGATTCTGAGCACCGGGATCAACCTATAGACAGTAGTGAGGCCCAGGGGTCCCAGCAGCCCCCACTTTCCTTCTCTGGGCCAGCCTGCAGCCCCACATTTCCCTGGGACGAGGGGGGGACACAAAGGCAGCAGCTGCTTGCAAAAAGACAAGAGCACTTGCAAGCACGCGCGCGCGCACACACACACACGCAGGCAGGTCTCAGCTTTGAAACTGGCTGTTCGGGCATCAGGACCTTCAAAGGCTGTAAACCATTTAAGGAGGCCCTCGGTGGCTTTTGTGAACCAGAATGAGCCTGCCATGAGCAAACAGAGGGAACAGAGAGGGAGGGAGGGAGGTGGGGAGGGAGGGAGAGATGGCAGAGAAAGAGCGAGGAGGGCAAGTCCGACTTTTGCAACTTCTCATTCCGTTGGAAGTTTCCTGTCCAGGCCGGGCACCCCTCCCTGCCTTCAGACCCAAGTTCTTTCTCCCATCACAGCGAGCAGCCCCTCTCAGATGGACCAGCCCCTCTGGAGTCTTGTCGCTGTGTGCTGAGAAAATGAAACGGCAGGACTTCCCCCCAAGGATCGGTGTGCCAGACCAAGCTCGCCACTTTTTCTACCGGACTGCCACACGAACCCCCTAGTCCCGCAGCCACCCTCAGTTTAACTAGACTGAATACCTTCTAAGGAGGCAGTAAGCCCGCCAGCTCTGTTAGTAACAAGACACACACCGGGGGACACGAAGACTGAGCAGAATTAAACAAGTTGCTCCCACGGCCACCCAACCTCCTGGGACTGGTGATCTAGCCCCTTCCCCACCCCCAAAAACCGCCCACCGACATCGCGCGATGTTGACCCGTAGTGACCCTAAAGGACAGAGTCCAGTGGTTCCCTGGGGGTTCCCAGACTGCGGAGGCTGGTAGGCTCATCCTTCTCCAGCGGTGTTGAACCTCTGACCTGGAGGTGCGCAGCCCCAGCGCTTAACGCACCGGGCCATCAGCGCTGGTTCGCTACGGCTTCTCCGAGATTCCTCCACTCAGCGTCCGACCTCACCTCCCAGCGCCTCGTCCTATCGGCCTGGTCGCCCGGGATGTCCACGGTCACCGCCAGCGCCGCCCACCGCGCGGCCAGAGGGGAACAGGTAGGCAGCAGGGCCGGGCGGTCCTCGTGCGCGCTCCCACCAGCGAGCGGAGCCCTCGGGCACCAGCCCGGGTAGGGGGGTGGGGTACTAGACCCTCCCACCCCACAAACACCCCAAGGTGGGGGCCGCCCCATGGCCCCTGAAGCAAGAACCCGGCCCTGCGCCCTGCAGAGAAAGGGGTCCCCTCCCGGGTCGGCAAGCGGCGCACTGCAGCCAGGCGTGCACCACGCAGCCACGGACCCGCCGGGACCCAGCAGCTCCCGAGAGGCCGCCTCCCCGGGTCAGCCCCCGGCCTGTGCCGCGGGAGCCCCCTGCGCTCCGCGCCCGCTCCCCTCACCTCCGGGCTGGCTCCGGGCTGGGGCGCGGCTGCCGGTGCGCGGTTCGTTCGCAGGCTGTGTGGCCGCGGGCAGGGGACGCGCGATATATACACTGCGGGGAGCCGCCTCTAGGTGGCACTGTGGACACCCCATCCCGGCTCTCCCCGCCCTCCCAGCCCCCAAACACACACGCACACACCCGCCAACATCACCACCCCCGCTCACACGCGTGCGTGCACAGGCACACGCACCGTGAGACCGTGGCGTTCCCGCCCCACCGCCCTCTCAGGGGAGCCCAAGCCTGCCTCCCTTCGTGTACAAGGCCAAATGCCAAAATGTGGGCACCCTGCAAAGAACCCCTAACCCAAACCAAGCCCGTGTCCCAATCCATAGCAACCCTACAGGGCTGAGCAGAACTGCCCCCCGTGGATTTCCGAGGCTGTAAGTCTTTCTGGCAGCAGACAACCTCAACTTTCTCCAGCGGAGCTGCAGGCAGGTGGCAGATTCGAACCGCTGGCCTTAAGGTTAGGGACCCAACATAAGACCCACTGCGCCCCCGGGGCGCGCTGTGCCCTGCAGAAGCGCCTGCAGTTTCCCTGCTGTCAGGTGCATCTTGAAGCGTCCTATCGGCATCCGGAGTTCCCGCTGAAAAGCCACTTAGTTCTTGGGGAAAGAATTCGTTTCCAGGACAAATGTTTGTGAGCTCCTGAACTTAGGCGTGGCGGGGAATTCTCTTTCGGAATTCCTCCCTGTGTGGCGTCAGCGACTCAGCGGTACCATAACATCTCTCCCACAAAGACTGGCCCCTCTGGTCGCTTGTATTGAGTCAGATTATTTGTTCAGGACCTCAGCCCCAAGCCCTTGGGCACCTAATCAAAACCTAGTTCTCCATGCTGCCCAGTGCCAGTGGGGGGCACGCGCAGAGGTGTGGCCTAGGCCCCGGGGCACATCTTTCCGCGGGAGTTCAGCTCCTGGATTTTATTAGGGGAAGTGGCCTTCCTATCCTGGCAGCCCTGCAGTACCAGGGGCCTTCCAACAGTGGGTGGGAAAAGTTCACGGGCTGTCCCACAAACTCTTTGAAGCCCCCTCGTAGTATCCTCTAGGGTCCTATTTAGCAAACTAACCAGAAAGCAGAGACCCACACGTTTCACCCCATGGTTGTTGGGGGTCCCCCACTCCCCCTTGAGTTATGTCTCTGTGGCCGCCTGATGCTCCCGGAATTCGGGCAGGGGAGGCCACATGTGTGCTGGGACCAGCCAGAGGGGCACTCTCTCCCTGAAGCCGGCTTGCCAAGATTCTTTAGAGAATTCTACTAAAAATAACAGCAGACAGCCAGATGCTGAATGGGGGATTGTAAGGTCAGGGGAGAAAGCCTTTGACAAAAGCAATGTTTCGTTTCCGTGAAAGCTTCATTTTCCCCCCTGATGGTGACACAGTGGGACAAAGGACTAAAAGGGGCATTGGACACACCCCTCTTCCTGGGGTCTCTATGGGGTCAGCCTGTCACCTCCCCACGGGGCCCTTCAAGGAGCTGCTGTGACTCTCCCTGCAGCCACGCCCCCCATGACCCCCAAAGCTACCCATCAAGGCTGCCCCAGGACAAGTGGCCATCTGGAAACCACTGCCCCCGACAGGGCAGGACAGGACAGACCCCCATGGAGGCCCCAGTACACTTCTGTTAGACTTATTTTGTCCCTGTCTGTTCCTGGTGGAAGGTCACGTGTCTCTGCACCCAGTGGAGGCGAGGGCTGAACGGAGCTGCTCTTCAGAGAGTGGGCAGGGGTGGGCTTTCCCTAAAGAGGAGATCGTGGATGAAAGTCACAAGATGCAGCTGCTAGTGCAGAGCGAGGACAAGCCATAGCAGCTTTAGCAGTAGAAGAGATCACAATAGGCCTTAGCTGGTACCCACTAGGATGTCTGCAGTCAGAAGATGGGAGGAAGGGGAGTCCTTGAGCTGTGGTTGGGGGGAACTATAAAGTGGCATAGCCCCAGGGGCAGAGTTGGAATCACCTCAAAAAGCTGAACCTAGACTCCCATGAGACCCTGCCGTTCTGCCCTTAGGCATGTTCCCAGAAGATGACAACCAGCACTCAGACAGATGCACCTGCATGCATATGTATTGTTGTTGTTAGGTACCATCAACTCCTATGTACAACAGACCCTCTGTACAACAGAGTGAAACACTGCCGGCCCTGCACTATCCTCATAACTGTTCCCATGCTTGAGCCCATTGGTGCAGCCACTGTGTCCATCCACAGTCCCTGGAAAAGGGCATCATGTTAGATAAAATAGAAGAGCCACAAAAAAGAGGACAGCCCTCAAGGAGATGGATTGACACCGTGGCTGCATATAGTTACAGTGGCATAAATCACGACGGACCACCAAAAAGAGGTAAAGGCCCAAGTGCCCATTGGCAATGAATGGATGAACCACGTGGTACAGCCACACGATGGAGTGCTCCTGGGCCACGCAAAAAGGAAGGAAGAGCTGATTCCTGCTACCCTGTGGGCGGGCCTTGGAAAGGTTGCTGGTGTGGTTGGGCTCTGACCCTTAGCGCCCGCCTGTACAAAACACCACCGGGTCCTGCACCATGCTCACCTTGTTCTTATGTTTCAGCCCATGGTTGCGGCCACTGGGCCATCTCACTTGTCAAGGGCCTTCCTCTTGTTCACTGCCCCACTGTTTTACCAAGCACGATGGCCTTCTCCAGGGACTGGCCTCTCCTGATAACATGTACAAAGCACGCGAGACCCAGTCTTCTGACCCTTGTTTCTATGGAGGATTCTGGCTGTACTTCCAAGACAGACATGCGTGTCCCTTTCGACACTCTTCAGCAGCAATTGATGCTTCAAACGCATCAGTTCTTCTTGGGTCTTTCTTAGTCAACGTCCAAATGTCACGTGCGCAGGAGGCAATGGAAACTACCAAGGACACGTTAGGCTGAGGGCCAGAGGACAGCCACAAAAGGCCACATGTCCTAGGCTTCCATTGAAGTGACATATCCGGAAGAGGTAAATCCACAGAAACAGCCCGTGGTTGCAGGGATTAGGGCAGAGGTCCCAGGGAAGACTGCTTCCTGGGAGCAGTTCCCCTTTGGAATGATGGAGCCCTGTTGGAAAGAGGGAGAGCAGAGGCTTTGTGGCTCAGCCAGAGTCCAGAATGCCTCTGAGCTATGCACTTTGAAAAGACTGTTTTGTTTTGTCTTTATTGTATGTCATTGTCATAAATTGAATCATGTTCCCACAAAACTTTGTGTCAACTTGGCTGGGCCATGCTTCTCAAGGGTCTGGCAGCTCGTTAAGGATGCCATCTGGGAGCTGTGTAATGTCACGATCATTCCCCAATCAGCTATCAGGGAGGAAGGGAGGGATGTGACACCCTTCCTCTCATCCAGCGTCAGGGGAACGCCCCTGGCTGGGACCTACATCATCTTTTACCTCTCAAGAGATAAAAGAGAGAGAAGCAAACCGAGGAGGGGCCCCAGTCCCGCCAAGCAAGAAGAGCCAGGAGTGCAGGGCTTCCTCTGGACCCTGAGTCCCTGCGAGGAGAACCTCCTAGACCCAGGGGAATCGTGATGCCAAGACTGGTGGCCGTTTCCAAGGGGCAGTGGAACCATAGGTAATAAAATGAGACAAGAGCCTTCCTCCTGAGTCAACAGAGGGAAAGCCTCCTGCCTCCAGCAGAGCTCTGGCCCCTCAAGGTGCAAGAGAGCAAGTGTCTGTTTAGTAAAGCCACGCCTTGTGGCATTTCTGCCACGCAGTCTTAAGAGAACTAAGACGGTCATCGTCTTTATCTTTTGTTTTTCATCTACTGGGGTAAGATCATGGGCCAACCCTAGCCATTGTTCTGTGAACTTGGGCATTGATCACACGCATCTGTTGTACGACCACAACACCAGGGGGTGTGGCAAAAGGTTGCTTTTTTTTTTAAAATAAATCATTTTATTGGGGGCTCTTACAACTCTTATCACAATCCATACATACATCCATTGTATGTCAAGCACATCTGTACATTTTTTGCCCTCATAATTCTCAAAACATTTGCCTTCTACTTGAGCCCTTGGTATCAGCTCCTCATTTTTCTCCTCCCTCCCTCGTGAACCATTGATAATTTATAACTTATTATTATTTTGTCATATCTTACACTGTCTGATGTCTCCCTTCACCCACTTTTCTATTGTCCGTCCCCCAGGGAGGAGGTTATATGTAGATCCTTGTGATCAGTTCCCTTTTTCTACCCCTTACAGAAGGGTTTTGGGGAGGAAACGAGCCAGTCAGGGTACAGTGTAACAACAATGAAACACACAACTCCTCTAGTACTTAAATACTTCCTCCACCCCACTATCATGATCCCAATTCTACCTTACAAATCTGGCTAGACCAGAGGCTGTACACTGGGACAGATCAGAGCTGGAAACACAGGGAATCCAAGACAGGTGATCCCTTCAGGACCAGTGGTGAGAGTGGCGACACTGGGAGGGTGGAGGGAAGGTGGGGTAGGAAGCAGGTTGCTTTTCTCAAGGGTTCATTGTAAGGGATCTTCAAGGGATCTTCAGCCAAGGCCCCCTCACCCACCCTCTTCTTCTTCTTCCCTTCTTCGAGATTTCCCTAACTTCCTTTCTTCCTTCCTGTCTGCCATCTGCCCCTGGGATATGATGCTGCTCCCTCTGGGTTCTAAATTGCCCCTGATTGTGGCCTCTGAGAGTAGAGTAGCCTTGATGGTTGCTCACCGCAAGGTCAGCAGTTTGAAACCACGACCTGTTGTCAGGAGAAAGATGAGGCTTTCTACTCCCACACAGAGTTACAGTCCTGGAAACCCACAGGGTGGTTCTATGCTATCCTGCAGGGTCACCACGCGTCCACATCGACTCAATGCCAGTAAGTTTGGATCGGAGTTTGCGTGGGCCCTGAGACCTCACTTCCTTTAGAAAGCACTGGTGTCCTGGAGGGTCAGGGCCCTGGGAGTGGCTCTCGGCCAGCCCACAGTCAGAATGGGGGCAGTGTGGCTCCCGGATGGTGAGGGCCATCCCAGGACAGTCACTGTCTCTGCCCTTGGGGCCT